GGGGAAACCTAGAATATGGTCTCTGGACAAGTTGCTTAGCAACTGTAGAAGGAGCAGTTTAGGGGGAAATGGAACAGAGACAAGCCTAGGATGAGTTCTACGATTCTCTGGGTCATGTACCTGGGTAAAAAACATTGTTATTGAAAAATATGGAATCTAAAGATGAATAGCCTGTTTAGGGGAAATGAAAGAACCTTCAGTCTACTAACTTCAGGCCTTCATTTGTTCTACGAGGCAGGTTCCATAGGTATTATTGGCCCCATTTTATTCTCAAAGGGGTAAAATTATTTGCCAATATCACATGTAGCAGCCTGAGAAGCTTACTGAAAACCAGGCTTAAGAGTAGGTACACAGGGAGACAGGTTCACGCTTTCACAGAACTTTTAATTAATGGGGGTTAAAGGGAATAGAAGACAAACCAGCAAGCCCTAGCCGGTTTGGCTCAGTGGATGGAGCATTGACCTGTGGACTAAAGGGTCCAAGGTTCGATTCCAGTCATGGGCATATACCTTGGTTGCAAGCATATCCCCAGTAAGGGGTGTGCAGGAGGCAGCTGATCGATGTTTCTCTCTCATCGACGTTTCTGACTATCTCTCTCTCCCTTCCTCTCTGTAAAAAATCAATAAAATATATTTTTAAAAAAAGAAGGGAAGGTATCTCAGAGGTGACATCTGAGTTGACTCCTCATAGCGGAGAAGGAAGCAGTCATGCAAATTCATAAGGAAAGAGCATTCAATGTAGAGAACAGCAATGAGAAGTCCCCCAGGTAGGAACAAGCCTGGTGTGCCACTGAGGGAGGAATTCCAAATGCGTCGCAAGTGGGGAGCAAGAGCGAGTCCCAGGTGCAAGGGCGTTTCTGGGAGGGTGAAGGAGAAAGGCTGGTGGCACCCTAGGGTGGTGCAGCACAGCACAGACTCTCTTGGGCAAGCCTGGGAACCTGAGCCCATGCACAATACTGTCTGAGAACCTGCATCATGACTCACAAAGGCTTTTGGAAGACAGATCACCGCTCAGTTGAGGACTGCCTATTTCGGCACTGAAACAGGGCCAGGAACAAACTCATTTAGTTTTGCCTTGAGAGATGAACTTTAAAATCCTGAGATGAACAGAACTTATTCATCTTAAATTTATCTACTCAGAGCAAGAAACAACTTGCAGTCCAATGGCAGGCAGCTCTGCCCCTGAGGCTCGTCATGCCCCACCACCTCCAAGGCTCTCAAAGGGATTAGAGACATTTCTCCCAATTGGCTCAGCTGGACAGGGCAAGGGAAAATGGTGGCCTACTGTCAACATGTGGAGCTGGGCTCCTGCCTATACAAACCTGAGAGCTTAGAAGGGACTGGATACTGGTGCTGCCCGCTGGCCCTGAGAGGCCACCCCAGCACAGCAGTCCAGCCAGTTCTCTGGAACACACTGCCCATACCTCCCATCCTGTGGTCATTTTTTCACTACTGCTTTATGTAAAGAGCTGCCAATTCCACCAACAGTCTTTCATATGGCCCCCATCCAGGCAAATGGCTTCAAACTCCATTTGCGAAGGGTGATACAGATCAAGCCTCTGACTTTCTCTGAAAAGATCCTACTTTACTGCCAACTCTCTCCGATGCATCTGCCTGTTGTATCTAAAAGTATCTATATTTAAAGTTTGCCAATGTAGCTCCTTTCAGAGTATCACACTGAGAAGATATATATTATATACACATATTTCAAAGATGGCTCCAAACATTATGAAATGCCTTCTCGGTAATGGTGTGGGAACCCATGGCACATTCTGGTTCTTGCCTAAGGGCAGGCTCAGGTCATGTCTGAGCTCATTTCAAACCACACTCTTGAGCTTTGCAGCTCACCGGCCAATGTTTTGTTCCTACAGACTCCATTCAACCTCCAACCATGAGGCATTTGCATGTGCTTCCACAGTAGCTGTATGACTCCTTCCTGACAACTTTCATCGTGGCATTTAAAATATATATATACATATATATCAATCAGGGGTCCTCAAACTACGGCCCGCGGGCCACATGCAAATACAAATATTGTATTTGTTCCCGTTTTGTTTTTTCACTTCAAAATAAGATATGTGCAGTGTGCATAGAAATTTGTTCTAATCAGCTGCCTCCTGCATCACCCCCCTCACCTCCCATCCCCATTGGGGATGAGCTGCAACCTGGGCATGTGCCCTTAGCGGGAATCTAACAGTGACCACCTGGTTCATAGGTCGATGCTCAACCACTGAATCACGCCAGTCAGGATATAGTGGCATTTTTATTTATTTATTTGCTGACTCTTCCAGTAAACTGCAACTTTCATGACGGCAGGGAATACATTTGTGCTAACCACTGGAGTCCCAGAACCTAGCATAGTGTCTGGCACAAAGTAGACAGTTAATAAATAGCTGCTGAAAAGAATACTATGAAATATATACAATCATGGAAATGTTTCACCTTCTGAGAGTGAAACAGCCCCAAATTATCAAATCAAGGCTGATAAAGCTTAAGGCTAAGCTATTCTGTTATTTTAAAAATACAGGAAAGATTTTGCTGTTATTTGGGCTTAAACTGATTATGGAGACAATTCTCAAAACAGTTTGACTAATAATTTAATAACACTCATTTGGATATATATGGAAATGACCACTATTAATATATTTTTTTAATGGAATGAGTTCATTTTCAAAAAGCTTCACCCAGGTTAAGCCAAATTAAAAAAGAAAAGCTACTGCTTACTTTATCAGGTACAGTATTAAGCATTCTATACACATGTTTTTCATTTAATTCTCATATCTGATTATTACTCCCAGTGCACAGATGAGGAAATTGAGGGTGCGGAGAGGCTGAGGTTACACACTGAGTGGCAAAGCCAGGATTCACATCTGGGTCTATTTGATTCCAAGAGCTATGTTTTTCATCTAAGCCATGTTTTAAGCTAAGAAATAAATGCTGACATTGAGTAATAATGTGTTGCCCTCTCCTATGAAAAGGTACAAGCATACAATCTGATACCACCAACTGGGCAAATGCCTAACTACTTAAAATAGGGTTTGGATGCCAATGATGTTGCAACAGGGAAACCAGGCAATTCCTGAAAGAGGAACAAGGAGGAATATGAACTAACATTGACTGAAAACTTGTGTTATGCTAGACACTGTATTAGATAGTTTCATGTATAATATTTCTTTTAATTGTTAAGAATCCTGTGTGATGGGTAATATTGGTCAAGAAAGAGTTGTAGAGGAACTGTGGTGTTTGGCGACCCAGTGTTCTTTCTCTCCTTTTTCCTAAGGAGCTGAACCTCCCACATTTTAGCTGGGCATAAGGCTATCTGAAATAAGGACAATATTATAACATCTCTACTCGAGCTAGGTGAGGCCACATCACCAAGTTCTGGCCAATGAGATGTAACAAGAAGTATATGACAGCCTCAGAAATGTTCCTTAAGAGACCTTCCTTAAGAAAGGCTTTTGCCTTTCCTCTGTCTCCTTCCCTTCGTTCTACTACAGTACTTGAACCTGGATGTGATGGTTGAAGCTCCACCGAGCACCATGAAGTTGAGGGCATCGCCTGAGACATGATAGATCTAAAAGGTGGAGCTGGCCTAGGTCTCAGAAGACTGTAAAACCATCCTGCCAGCCCTGGAGTGTTCCTCTGTAAACTTTTTTTTTCTTTTTTAGTGTGAAAGAGAAACAAACGTCACTTTGTTTAAGCCATTGTTCTCTGCGGTCTCTGTAATTGGCAGCTAATCTTAACGAACCCAGCAACTCATCCAAACCCAGACCTGCACGTCCACGCTCTTAGGCAGGAGCCTAAAGAACTCCTATGTACAATTTGCAATAGATTGGGGGTGGGGGTGGTAGGAAAATGCTGCAGAGGAGTTTGACCGAGGAAGGGAGGTTTGAATATGCTCGCAAGTTGGCACACTTGAGAAACGATCAGAAGGAATATGCTAGTTGACAGTGAAGAATTTAGCATCCCTCAGAGAGGGGCAGAGGATGATCTCAGGTACCTGCATGGAGCTGGAACCAGAAGGGGAATAGAAGCTGTGCAGCTGGTAGCTTCTGTGAAAGATGCTGCTGGCTGAGGAGCTGGCATTGTAGAATGGAGCTCTGGAAATGGCCACAGGATCAGAGAGGCAAGAAGAGTTACAAGAAACTCTGAAGTGAAGAAGTAGGAGATGAAGTTCAAAGATACAGTCTGGAAAAGCACAAGCAGATTGACCCATATCAACGACAGCATAAAGGTCAAAAGGCAAAAGGGAAGATCAAGGTTGAAACTCTGACAACTTATTCATTTCCTTTACACAATTCACAACACCACCGACGTGCATTTAAATTATGTTGGAGTGGAATAGAATCCTAAGTGAAAGGCAGCTGTAGAACAGGGGTTTTATTATTACCCTTTGTTGAATTTCTAAATCAACAGCTGTGTTAAGATCTTTGAAGAGAGATTCAGTGACTGCAGTTAGGCCTACTTTTATTTAAGATCGTAATGACCCAGAGAAGAAAAAAAAAAAAAAGCTATGCCCGCCAAAGAGAGTATTTTAAATACTAGAAAAAACTGTCATAAAGGTATGTAGGAAATTTAGAAGCTACAGATGGAAAAAAGTGGAAATCGGCAATGGCAATGAAAGAAAAAGCAGCAATATGAAAGCAGACGTGGCACAAATTAGAAGGCATTTTATAATTGGTTGAATAAATTGTGCTATAATTGGGCCTCTCAAATTCGTTCTGGTTGGTCACAGGTCTAAACTGCTGCAGGATCCTGTGCTCTGGAGGCAGGACAACAGGGAGAGACATGCTTCCTACATGGAAAGCAATGCAAATCATTCCACCAACTCAGAGTAACACGTCAGATTCAGCATACATTAGTTACTGAAATATCAGTGTAGGCTAGAAGGATGTTGAAAAGGAGAACAAAAATAAAATTCAGGCCCTCGCTAGTTTGGCTCAGTGGATAGAGCATTGGCCTGCAGACTGAAGGGTCCCAAGTTTGGTTTCGGTCAAGGGCACATGCCCGGGTTGCGGGCTGGATCCCCAGTAGGACGTGCAGGAGGCAGCAGCTTAATGATTCTCTCTTATCATTGATGTTTCTTTCTCTTTCTCCCTCTCCTTTCCTCTCTAAAATCAATAAAAATATATTAAAGAAAAAAAAATAAAAGTCAGGCCCTGGCTGGGTGGCTCAGTTGGTTGGAGCATCATCCCATAAACCAAAAGATTTCCAGTTCAATTTCTAGCCAGGAACATTCAGAGGTTGAGGGTTTGATCCTTGGTCAGGGCACATTTGGGAGGCAGCTAATCCATGTTTCTCTCACATCAATGTTTCTCTCTCTCTCTCTCTCTCTCTCTCTCTCATTCTATCCCTCTCTCCCTCCCTCTCTCTCTAAGAAAAAAAAATCAATAATGAACATATTGTCAGCTGAGGATTAAAAAAAGTAAAGTCATGCAGGCAATGGTTAGGGATCCTCCCATCTTCCCTCAGAGGACTTTCAGAGAAACTCACTTTGAAATGGCATAATAATAAATAAAATTCAGAAATTCAATCTTGAGAGACAGTAAATGGAAACCGGGAATTAGATTAAATAGACTATTTTTATATGGACAGCAAAATCAAAAAGGAACATAAAAATACTCATATGCCATCAAAAAGGATTTGAAAATTAAAAAATAAAAACTTGGTTACAAATAAAAACTTTCGTTAAAGCAAGAATCATCTAAATATAATATTTGCACCTCTCAATCTCAGAAAACAAAACCAAAAAATTACAAATTTCAGACCACTGCAGGAAAATACCCACATAGTCTAAACAAAATCTTGGAGGGATAATGGAATATTATTCAGTACTCAAAAGAAATAAGTTATCAAGCCAAGAAAAGGCATGCAGGAAACTTAAATGCATATTACTAAGTATAAGAAGGCAACAGACTCTAATGATTTAGCTATATGACATTCTGGAAAAGGCAAAACTATGGCTATGGAAAAAATATCAGTGGTTGCTAGGGGTTGGGGAGAGGAAGAGATGAATAGTGGAAAACAGGATTTTTTTTTTTTTAGGGAAGGGATACTATAGTATCATACTCTGATGATACTACAATGATGGATACACGTTATTACACATTTATCCAAACTCATAGAATGTACAACACCAAAAGTGAACCCAAATGTGTAGTATGGACCCTGGCTAATGATACTGTTGTCAATATAGGTTCATCCACTGTAACAAATGGACCACTCCGGTGGGGCATGCTGATATAGGGGGAGGTTATAAATGAGTAGGGGGAGGGGGTATATGTGAAATCTCTGCACTTCACTCTCAATTTTGCTGTGAATCTAAAACTACCCTAAAGAATAAAGTCTATTAAATAAAAAACTTGGACGACCTGGTACCTTTTCATCAACATAATGAATGTTGCTTTCATTATGAGGATTCTGACTAATACTATCAACAATAAAATTAAATCAAATTTAAAAAATAAAGAAGAAAACAGCAACGGGGATGGTCTTCAAAAAGCAGATTTTAACTCGTCAAATGAAATCACTCCAGATGTGAAAACATTCATGTTGGGCTGGACACGTCAGAATACCTTTCCAATCGAAGAAACATAGTAAGTTTCAAAGAACAGTAAATTTAATTCTTTTTTTTTTCTGTAAGAAAAACATTTTGTGGGGATAGTAGGTATAAGAAAAGTGCCACGATTCAACTGTGGACTCAGTGACAACTCTGCCCACTTCACTACCTGAACTAAGAGAAGAGCAGACTGTTAGGGCTTATAATCTTCAATCACACTGGCCCAATTACATCAGAGATTAGCTGTCATTTGCCTTCAAGAGTGAAACTGCGGATTAGGAACGCCAGGGGCCAAAGAAAGTCACCGTGGCACCCTCGACTCAGAGAGCATTGGGGGTTCGCAAGGACATGTAACCTGAACACATGCAGGGTACAGGAATGGTACTGCCGTTTGGATTCTTCTGTGCGCTTCAACCCTACACTTGTGTTTAGGAGACAGGACAGTCTGATAACGACACATGCCGTTTAACTGCTTCTTAGAAAGAGGTGAACACATTTCCCATTTTAAGTTGGCTGCATGTTTGCACACTGAGAAGTTTCATAACGATATCTTTTTACAAAGTTTTTTTAAGTCTTTAGGCAAGGCAAATGTATTGAAGGAAGTTCACGTGTAAGTTGCTTTTAAATTTAGTTTTGCTCTTGTCTTGGGGGGGAGGTGGGAAGGGGCGCTTACAGGGTGTCTTTCTGACCACAAAGGAAGGACTTCCACAGAAGTCATCTAAGGGCAACCTATGGACTTTGGGCAGTCGGTTGAGGACACAGAGTAATGAAGAAACAATGCCTCCTCCCTTCTGACCTCTCAGCACCTGCCCACTGCCCCCCGCGAGGAGGAAACTCTTAGCTTCTCTCTTAGGCTGCCCCCTTCTCCAGCTAACAAACGGATGCCAACACCACCATCACACTGTAGGGGAACAATGAGTGTCCAATGAGCACAAAATGTTCGTCAACAGCGCCAGGGCAGGGGGCACAGGAGAGCGACCCCACGCGTATTCCCCCGGGAGAGGGCTCATCACCCCGGGGCGAGACCCCAGCCTGCACAACCAGAACCGCGCCCCCACACCGCCCCGGGACCCACATTCAGGTGCAGCGCCCGGAACGCC